TCTTACAACTACCAAATGATATCCAAGCAACAAGCACTGCATTAATCTCCAGGGAGATATGGATGCTCTGGCTCCAAGGCTCATGCAAAACACATGACGCTTTACGCACGAGATGTTGGATTTTACGCACAGATGTTTCTGTTTGCTTTACTCTCGTGGCGCATGTGTGAAGTCTCTCTTGATGAGACTAATTGTGTCACGCCTGGGGCCATTAAGCGTCGGGCTAAACACCTCGCTGCTGTAACATATCAGGTGTAATCCAATCTAATGTGATGACTCGAAGGCGAGGATTTAGGCAGCAGAGGGCGGGATGGAGTACTTATCCCGCGGGATCAGACCGCACTGGAGCCGCAGGGGTGTAGTCGATAACTACACGATAATAGCACGATCTTTCACCTGCAGATTGGCCTCCCAGGCAGATAATAGCACGACGCTTGGAAGCTATAAACCCCCTCTCTCTCTCTCTCTCTCTCCCTCTCTCTGCACAGGGAGGTTGTCCCGTAGACAAAACTCACAGAAACCAGTGCAGAGCGTGCCGCTTGAAGAAGTGTCTGGAAGTGAACATGAATAAAGACGGTAAATGGGCATAATTGAATTATCACGTTGGCCATACACACGCCATGCAGCGGTGTTTGGACTGGAGGTGGGACAAGTGCATTAATGATCCAGGCTGAAAAGTGATAATTACAAAGTATTTACTTGTTGAGGGATTTTCATGCTCAGTGGAAGCACTGATTAAAGAGAATTGTTTTTTCAATTACAAACATTTGCACTTTGAGTTTGTATTATTGAAGGAATAGTTTGGAAATAAATGCACTACTTGTAAAATTTAGACAAACAAGTCACTACTCCTGCAGAGGCCTTTCCTCCGCTCATGTGCTAAACGTTTGTGTCCCGTTTCACAGCCGTCCAGCACGAGAGAGGCCCCCGGACGTCCACCATCCGCAAACAGGTTGCCCTATATTTCCGGGGCCACAAAGAGGTGAACGGATCGTCGACCCATTTCACGGGCTCCTCTTTGCCCGGCCCTCCCTTCTTCACCACGGTCACGCAACTGGAACCTCACAACCTGGAGATGAGCACCGTGGCCACCACGCCAGAGAGACAGGCCATCGTGGGTCTGGCACAGCCCACCCCGAAGGTAGGCGACATTTTTGGGATGGCTTAAAAGTTATTTAGTTCTGTTTTTCTCCTTGGATGTGTATGTTCTGCTTTACTCTCAAGAGTTCGTTTGTTGACAATCTCTTATAAATAGAAATCATGGATCAATCTTCGGCTTCTACTGGCTTTTTAATGTCATTTTTAAAACCTAGAATTATCTGAATATACAAGTCCTTAATAGTTTATGATATGCCATTGATATTTGTATTATTCCCAAATGTTATTATAGGATTACAGTTTTTTTTGGATAAGGGTGAGAAGTTGAAATTCTTGTTCCGATTTAGCAGCCTGCTAAGAGCCACAAATCCGCCAATTAGGGTAGATTTCTCCGCATAAATCCACCACAAGCAGCACTAATAATTATAAAAACCTGCTGCTGGGGCTTTGAGTTTGATCAGCGTTGAATATGCAGCAATTCACTGAATTGCAGTTTTATTATCACACGAGCTGCTGCACGATGATACAGATGAAAGTGATGATATTTCTATTCCTCCAGTATCCCCACGAAGTCAACGGGACCCCCATGTATCTGTACGAGGTGGCGACGGAGTCCGTGTGCGAGTCGGCGGCGCGCCTCCTCTTCATGAGCATCAAGTGGGCGAAAAGTGTCCCCGCATTCTCCACGCTGCCTTTATCCGACCAGGTACACTGAGGGTTGAAGGGCTGATGAGAAGTTTAAGAGTTTAGAACTGATCCGTAGTTTTCTTTTCGGCCATCAGCCAAGAAAAAAGATTCGTTCGATTTGGTCTCCTTTTGGGTCTATGATTGAACTATAGTCGATTTGATGTAGGATGATGGAAGCCAGGGGCCTTTCACAGGCCTGACCAAACGAACAGCGCTGTGCGTAATATGGAATCCAACCGGTTTTACGCACGGGTTATACTGTACTTAAAATCAAACCAATGCTTGATTCTGCTTTTCAATGTAGTTTTTAACCCTGACATTCTTTTTCTTCACAGCTGATTCTGCTGGAGGACGCATGGAGGGAACTATTTGTTCTTGGCATCGCGCAGTGGGCCATTCCTGTGGACTCCACAACTCTTCTCGCTGTTTCTGGTGCGTATACGAGACTCTCATCTGGTTACAGGCAACGACCAGCCTCATGGTCTATCATCTAGAAGAGTCAGTGGATGCACATTTATCCTGCGTAATGACCCGTTTCTATTTGTATTAATAGGAATGAACACTGAAAACACAGAGTCTCAGCGGATGAATAAAATCATATCTGAGATTCAAGCACTTCAAGAGGTGGTCACCCGATTCAGGCAGATGCGTCTGGATGCAACGGAGTTCGCCTGTTTAAAATGTATCGTGACATTCAAAGCTGGTGAGTGTCATTATTATAGTACAGCACTGTCATTAAACTTAAACGCTCATAATGGAAACCATCATTATTTCTGGAGCCACATTCCCTTTCTGTCTAAACCAAAACCTGCCGAGGGAATCGAACAACAGCAGAAGTTCGAGTGGCTAATTAAACCTCGTGGCTTTATTTATGCGACACAACAGCACCTTTTTAAAATCCTGCCTCTTGTCTTTCAGTTCCCACGCATGGCAACACCGAGTTAAGAAGTTTCCGCAACGCCAGCGCCATCGCTGCGCTACAGGACGAGGCGCAGCTCACTCTCAACAGCTACATTCACACCAGGTGAGATACAGGAGACGCGATGAACCAGTGAGGATCTACTCACACGTGGCACCGTCTCCCTGCATGCAACAGCCCAGCCTATATACGTTCATTATAAAGTTAATTAGGCAATAAGGCGCTGCGGCTTCCTGTAATTTTGCACATGCAGGTGCAACAGTTGAACCATGTTATTTAATTGGCAGTATATTGGCACAGATGTGTGTTAACTGGAGACGCTGCTTCTGCACACAGAGGCTCGGAGACAGTGTTTTCTTTCGTCTTACCCCGGTGATGTGTTGCAGGTACCCGACTCAGCCCTGTCGCTTCGGTAAGCTGCTCCTGCTCCTGCCGGCGCTGCGCTCCGTCAACCCGACCACCATAGAGGAGGTGTTCTTCAAGAAGACCATCGGGAACGTCCCCATCACCAGGCTCCTCTCCGACATGTACAAGTCCAGCGATATATGAATTTCTCGCCATTTGTCCAGTGCGCATGGAAAACAGCTGAGCCGAAGGCCCATGCAGAGACTCACCCAGCAGTCGACAGAATGACAAATCCTAGCAGATGTAACCATGGGTTGATTTTTTTATTTTTTTTTTGCTAAGCACAAAATCTCTTTGGCTATATTTAAAAAAAACCATAGGCTCAATTGAAACAAAGACTGCAACACAAGCTGGAATTCACCAAGTAGCCAGTTAACAGTCTAGCTAAGGATTAGCCTGTAATGTTCATGATAGAAGTGACTTTATGAAACTGAAAGCTACAGTTGAAATACAGCCTGAAGACTCTGGAGAGCACCTGTCTGACAAAGAATTGTTATATATTACGACGTTTTTCGAGTGTCTGTGAGACCAATGAGCTTGATGACCAATTACATCTTTTATTGCTGTGTTCAGTCCCACTGGAGGAAACCAAAAAAAAAAAGAAAAAAAAAAAANGGGGGGGGGGGGGGGGGGGGGGGGGGGGGGGGGGGGATGTGAGTCGCTGTCCCTCGATCCGGTGCTGAAACCAAACGCACGGGGGCATCGATGAGGAGGTGGCAACTCAATTTTTAAGGAGGCAGAGGGGGCAAAGACTTTTCAAAGGCCCCCCGACCCCACCCCACACCTGAGTGTAAAAGTACATTAATCTGAAGATGTTTGTATTTAAGTGGTAACTGTCCATGTTTGTGTCGGTGTGTCCCGTTTGAGGCGCAACATTAAACTGTTTAGGTCGACTTTGTGAAGTTAGACACTAACACTGGGTGAAAAAAAATCAGCACTTGGGGATGTTTTTGTGACCTGTGATGTTTTTATTCTGTTGTAAATACATAAGAGTTATAACTGTTTAGAGTTGTAACCAAGAGAATAAAATACACTGAAGTAAACTGTTTTCGTATGATGTAGATATAGAAACGATCAGCTGCAGTTACAAAGCAGGTTTGCACTTCATGTTCTTGTGAATAGTAGTGTTCCTCATCAAGGATTTAATTTGGTGTACATTGTTTCATACAATTTCAATTTATTTCCCAGTTGTTTCAAATTTCTTCAGTAATGTATAACTAATTTTCAACTGTTGATTTAATGAGTTAGTGTATCATTACATGAGTAATCAAGTCACTATATGAGTTTCTCTTATTAGTTACATCAGAAATTAATCTATATCCCATTAATTTATCCATTAAACATTATCATTCATGTGTTTGATCGGGCTCTAAACACAGAACTTCACCTCTTCTAATAGAAAACATGAAGCGGTTTGTGTCCAATTGGAAGTCAGATGTTAACATCTGCATACATGTCACTGCATGAACCAACAGTCTTCATTTCTATAAGCTACAAGGTGACAAATCTATTTAAAAATATATATTATAATGGACGGACATGTTTAAGCAAACAGAAGCACCAAAGATCTGCAAAATAAAGGAGTTCATAGCTGTTAATCATACATCAAACATGAGTTGACTTAATTAAGGCATTTCTGTACCTGTACTTTTGAGTGTTGTTGATTCGCTTTGCAAGCAGTTCAAACTATCATTAACTCAAAACTCAGGGCAGGTGTAACAAATTTTAGTCATAGGTCTGAAACCTCTTTGTAATAGAAAGAGTAGATGATGTGTTTATTGAAAAATAAATGTATAAGCAAAGTTAATATTAGATATAATGGCTGCCACAACTTGACAATCAAATGTGGATGGGTCGACAGTCCGAATCAACAAATGTACTTCTACGTGGAGACATTTCACCTATTTTATTGGAAAATCTTCAAAATAAAGAAAAATGGCACAGCAGTATACAAATCTCAAAATGCATATAGCCCGTAGAAATACTGCAGTTCCCTCTGTGTAAATTAAATCTTTCCTGCTCGAAAATCCTCGTGATAACTGGGCAGGTGCTGGTTGATATACACACACAAACGTGCTTCCTTTTTAAGGGTGGATCAACTAAGTGTCAAGGCCCATCACATATATGTGAGTGTTTAGTTGCTTGTTATGGTGTATTGGATATATACGATGGGAAATGTGGGTCTTTACAGGAGCATTGCATACATAGAAGTCTTATTCAATGTTACTATATAAATGAATATATTCAAGACATAGCTAAATGATAAATACATAATATATCCATGTTAGTGGCATTTCCAGACATAAAGAGAAATTACTATAAATTACTTTGAACCACAGTTAATGTGTAGAACATTCTTGACTCCAATTAAAAAGTGAAAACAAACACCGATCAGGGTCACGAATTTAACTAAAAGAGGCAGTGAATTATATTATTTTGGGGGACGCGAGGAGGGGAAGTTGTCTTTGAAATGTTTATTGTCTGAGAGAAACCTGAAGCAGTGAAGAGAGCTTTGGGTTGTCGGGCCAGGCTGAGCCGAGCGGGGTCGAGCCAGACCAGGCCAAGCAGAGCCATCTTTTTTTCTTTTTCATTTCAGGCTTGTCTGATTTTGGATGGGGTGTAGTTCTTGTCCAAAGACTCGTCCTGTAGAAACATGTGCAGGCATCGTTCGTTCTGGGCTAAAGGGTGACCGGCCACTCTGTAACACACACAAGAGCAAAGGGCAGGTTTGAAGCAGGATTAATTCAGGAATCCTTTGTAATGTGAAGGATATGAGGGGATATTTCAAGTGATAAGTGTATGAACATGTGAGAGTATTCAGTATATCTACATGTGTATAATGGAGTTATGGAGAGCAGTGAACACAAGTTACATTTTCTAAGTTGAAGGTAAGATATTAAATCTTCCATAAAAATGTATTTCAAAGATATGCTGAAAAGTAAACAAACATTTCCCTCATATTCTTATGGTTGAATCCCACAAAATCCTCACTGCACAATGAAACCTTTCTCTTTTATTCTTCTTCTTCTTATAAAGACAGAACATTGTAATGTGGACATTATTGCCAGTTCAGTTGTTGAGTTATTGACATCCATACCATACTGTATAAAGTATGTAATATATACTAATCTTCATCGTCCATGATTGTTACACATAAACAAGAACTCAAAATACTTGCCAGAGCTGTTTCACTAACATGCACATATATGTTTTATTTAATTAGCCAGCGCAAACTACAATTAGTAACTTTTACAATGTAAACCCAGTACACACAAAACCAGTGTAGAAATAGTGTGAGTATGGATTTGTGCCACAGCTTTAGAATGGAAACATGGTGTGAGAGAGAGAGGATGACGAGTAAAAGGATCTTTAGCTGGAGAATATCTTGGTATTCATCTGTGAGATAATCACAAAAATCAATATGTGTTATGTTAACAGTAAAGAAACAGCATAACCAGTCCTCATATCACAACTGAAGAGGCCTATTGTAATTTTGAAGACTGACTATGCAGTACATACTGACCTGTTGTATTTAACAGATATTGGTTTGTGGATATGGATGTGTGGTTGTGGTCACAAGCTTTTTTACTTTACTATAATAGAAGTTTTTTTTCTGTCACCTTCAATAAACAAGAAGGAAGTTTCAATTTCGATTAAGATCCCAAAGAAACTCGACCCATTAACTCTGACATGAGAAATCAAAGTTTTGAGGAATACTGCTGAAAGGTATTTGTGTTTTTCCCCCAAAATGAATTATATATATCCAAGTACGATTTATTGAAATTAATGAAATTAATCTGTATTACAGCTGTATATTATGGCTACATTTCGAGAATACAGTTAAAGCCAAGATGACATTGGGTTTCCCTTGATGTCCCTTCAGATGACGCACATGAGCTTAATGTGCATGAGCCCGTGCACCTGAGAGCCTCAAACATCTCATTTTATCCAGAACAGATCAACATGATGACATTGCACGTATGACCTCTAAATGGAAATATTTCAGTGAAATTAAGCAGCTCAGGCAGGAACCGATGGGCCAGATACCGGGGTAATCATCGGAAAAACCAACTCTATTTAATAGGTTTTGGAGATCTGCAGTTGACATTGAGGACAAGGTGCAGAAGAAGAATGTGAAAATCTGATGGGCCTTGCTTGCTTTTGGAAGTGGGGAGGGGTAAGCCCTTCTTTTTCTATCTGAAGCATGAATTACTCTACATTTGAGGCTAATCAGAAAACTGACGGTTATTCTTCTTGTACTCACTTTCTTCACAGCGACAGTCGTGTTTACCGTTCCTAAAAGATTTCTTCTTCACAATGCTCTCAATCACACGTTCAAACAATGCTGCCAGCCATGTTGGCCAGTATTACGTCTGAACAATGCTATGATCAACAACAGTTATTCATTCATTGGAGGAAAGGGGGGGGGGTCTTAATTGCCAGCACTTTCTCATCTTCTTTAAAAAAACATATTTATGGATTTTAATTTTCTCAACTGTCTTTGCACACTTAATATTCCACCAGGAAACATTGATGCATTTGCACATGAAACCAAGATAATGGCCAAGACTGCAATCAAAGCAAATAATTACAGTCAGACTGTAACTTTTATTGTTCTGCAGCTGAAAACGAGGACATGCTGGATCAAAAATAAGCAGAGGTGCACACACCATCCCATGGAACCAGGCGCTGTAATTTGAGCTGCAATTATCATAAATTACACATCAACAATAAAACAAATGTGGGAAAAATTATGTTCTGGGGTGTGCACTTGAGTCCTCTTTGGGTATTCTTATCCTTTTCCGACGTAATTAAAAAAGAGAATTAAGGAGGATAGTGAGGAAAAAAAAACTGCTCGTCTCTGTGGGTTCAGTTTGTTAACAATATGAGGAGAAGTGGAAAAGTTGAATCTACTTATTGAAAAGTGTTTCATTGTTCTTGAGAGTTAAAATAAGACATTGCTAAGGAACAAGCGTTGGACGACAGCAAGTACAAAGAGACAAAAATTGTAATGAGTAAATTGTTTTGACCTTGTGGCAAAGTAGTGGAACATCGGAGAGAGACAGAAGATGTGGAAAGGCTTACTTGTTGAGAAACTGCTCCAAACCCTGTCTTCGCTCCTCAATGAAGAGGTCATCAAATATCCCATTATCTCCTCGAAACGGAAACTGCCGTAAAAGAGCTTTTCCTGGGAGAGGAGGGACGACCACCTATGACAAGAGAGCAAACACGGGAAATCACAGAGTAGCAGTTAAACAAGCAATTTATTAAACAGTAAAACAACCTGAAAGCGAGCCTGCATCATGTGGTCAAACTTAAAACCTTCCTTGAAAAATGTATATGGCCCTGAAGATCTTTCAACAGCTCACTCCCTGATCAAGTGCAGAGCAGAAACGGCCCATGCTATGTAATGATTTGATAAACCAAGTACTTGAGAGGCTTTGTGTCAAGTTACCCTCAAAGTCTCACCTTGCTCTCCCTCTCCAGCTCCGCTCTGAGCCACTCAAAGTCACTGTATCGCCTCCGAACACAAGACTCCTTCAGCTTGAAGATTGGTAGGTTGGTCTGTGAACACACAAACACACACACACACAAAAGTGGCAAACCGTTAACAGCTGCCTTCATTTACAAAGGAATTCTTTTTAAACCATTGTAGCTGTTACATGAATTGAAGAAATCAGATTTTCTTTAAGGCACAAAGTAAAGCTCAGAAAGTTGAGTTACATAAAGATTTCAATGAATCCAAGTTCAGCTGGTACAGTTTTCTACATGCACTGTAAGGCATTGTGCTTATTATTTATTAATATGGCTACTATTTTTCATTAGTAAATCGTTTAATCTTGAAAATAGTGAAAGCTCAGAATGCTTGTCTCTTTTTGTACCAACCTTCAGAATAAAACACAAACAAATCCTTACAAAGATTTCTTTCCTGAAAAAATTGAATCCAAACTATTTATTGATAAAAGAATTGATGGCTTAATCAATACTAAAAAATCTTTAGGGTAACACCATGCTACCCTAAAGCACAGAAAACAGGACTTCAGGTACACTGGAACACCTGAACATACACCTTGAGTTATTAAAAGAAAGTTTGTTATTAGTAAAACCACCATATGGTTTAGTTTCACCCAGGAACTTAGCATTGGTCATAAACACATTTAAACATGTTCCATAGGAGGATTTTAACAACGACAAACTAACTCACAGGTTGTACTCTGTGTGCCAACAGTGAAAAGAGCATAATGATCGCTGCCATGAGAGATTGTGCAAACATGAAGAGAAAGTTAATTTCTTATTGAATTGGTTTAAGGTAGCCTTGTGGTATCTACTCTGACTTTATAAAAATGAAGGAATGAGGAGAGAAAATAAAACAAAGACTCCTTCAAATTGAGCCAAACTGAATAGAAAAATTTAAACTGGCCTTCAGGCAAAGTTCACTTATGTTTTGCTCACCAAGGTCTATTGCACCGAGAAGGTTTTTTTGCCATTTTTTTCTTCCTCTGTGCGTTCGTGTATACCAGTGCACAGATGTGTGCATAATTCTAAGTTGCTGTTGACAAGCACTCGAGAGCGAATTTCATATTAAAAAGAGGAGATGTTTCGACATTGACAGAGAACACTGAAGCAAACAGCACATTACAGCACAATGCCAAACCTCTTCACTAGTCCTGGCGGCACATGGCCATCCCATGACAATGTACAAACAAGGAGAGAATGAATGAGCATTTCATTGGCGGGCCACATTCGGAGAAGGTCAGAATTCACGGGAGGAGGAGGAATCACAAGAGCAAGGCAACCGAGCAAGTAGGTGCAGCATGAATACAGTTTGAACAGCAGACTGATCGATGAGCAGATGACCGTGTGCAGTAAAGGGGATGGAGAGTTAACTAGAAGGCTGAGTAAATGGATAAGCAAAAAAAAGGCTTAAAGGAAGAAAAGAAAAAGTGGAGAGGTTGGGAGCTTCATCTGGTCTGTGCAGGATTAATTGAGGAGGGAGGAGAGCAGGAGTGGTCTTTACGCTCTCATGGCCTCTCCCTTTCAGTTTTTTCTCTCTTTATTTCCCCTGCTCTGCGATAATAAGTCAGATTTTCTGCCCTTGAGAGGAGACTCAAGGGCAGAAAATCTGACAGGAATTTATATTTTCCCTCTCGGCTCCGGTCTTCTCCTCCGTCTCCAGAAAATGTGAAAGAGTAAAAACTTAAAATAAAATAAAAATCTCATAATGATGATTGTGATATCTTGTTCAACTGAAAAATAAATGTCACAAATGGGAATAATTCAATAAGTCATAAATCAGTGGTCATAAATACTACCTTTATAAAGATAACACTGTTCCATACTCCTGTACAACACCAACACTAAGACCTCAGTCTTAAACATACAATCTGTGATAGGCCAACAAAAACTGGCAATAGTAGGTAGAAATATGTGGAGCAGCTGTTGTACTGGATTGCATTACACTGTACAGATGCCTTTAATGGTCCAAAATCTCATTCAGGAATGAGGGTTAGTCAGAGAAAACCGTGGGGGAAAACTTTTTTATGGAATTGGTTCAAAAACTTCAGATGTTGGCTCCACAGGTTACGTTTCCATCTGAAACCTTTTCATGTTCCATTATATGAATTGCAATAAAATTTAGGTTTCCTCTATGATAACTCTCTGATAACACCATATGTCATAAGGTTATTTTCTTGTTTTAACGTGCTTTGTTTTTAAGCAAAGATAAATATGTTCAATTCCTGCTTGTGTGTGACACCATTACTGTTTTTCCCCCCGACCACATTAGCTGCTTTTTAAACAAACAAACCATTTTGCAACCAGTTCATTCCGTGACCTTTGTGGGGCCTGCATGAGATCAAAGCACATACAGAAGCCAGACTTTACAGCATGCAAGACGTTAATTCTAATATTGTTACAACATAGCTCTTTCAATATGTTCTTTGATGAAATCCTTAACGCAGTTGATATAGCTGGGTTTAGATGACAGTTATGATAATGGGAGATACAATAGGTGCCTGTAAACTCACTTAAATTGTCTCTGCCACTCCCTCTTTCCCACCGAGTTTTTCCTGTATCACCCCAACTCACACACCCCACTAATTTCAAATTCTTTCCAGGTGAAGTTGTCAATGAGCCCCTCACTCCTCCTCTTTCTCAGGTCACAGGAGAAGTGGATTATTTTAGCTTTATCGCCCCACTGCTCTAGAATTAACTTCACTCTCCTCTCACCGCGCTCTGTCCCTGCTGCGTCATGTTACCTCACAGCATGGAGCGCCACAAAGTTAATCCCCACCACAACAGATCACAGTTACAGGTAATCTGCCACCGCCGTGACTCTAATCCCATCATGCGCACACAGAAAACACTTAACTGTGCACAACCAAACACTGACGTACACACGGTAGACGTGAACAGGTGTGAAGTCATCTAGTTAGCAACGTAAATATAATAGCCCAAAGCATTCAGAGCTTGTTTGTACCCACAGTGGAGCCATCTCCAGACAATGAGGTTAGCAGGGCGAGTGTAAGGGAAGAAAGTCACCTGGCCTTTCAATCCTCTCACCCTCTCAAACCCTGTGATTAAGAGATTGGCCTTGCAGGACAAGGGGAGGAACGAAAATGACAGAACTGAAAAATGAGAGGTCTCAATCTCCCTTTCTCTCTCACACACACAGAAAAAGTCGGTGCGTGAGAGCTCTACGAGTCAAAGATCAGGTTTCCCCTGGCCTCTGTTCTCTTCATGGCTGGTTAGAGGTTAGGGCCCGGGTGTCTCAACTTACTGGCCCCTGCAGTGATTGGGACATGGGACCAGCCCAACCCAGCCTCGTCTTAGCATTTCATTAATTGTCTAAAAAGGCACACTTTGCCTCTCTCACTTTCTGAGAGACAGAATAAAAAGAGGGTGTATGAAAGTGAAGTTAGCGGAAGTACAAAAATGAAAAGCCTAATAAACACAACATGGGAAATATTTAAAAGCAGGTTTGAAAGAAAAAAAATCCTGTATCCAGAAAAGAGCATAAAGCTAGATGCTGATCTTTCAAAGTACACCTCCTACCTTTAATTTCCATTTTGTGTGTACAAGGTGCAATCTACGCTTCATGGAAGAGCCAGTGATTCATAATGTGAGGGACACAATACCTTAGGCTTATTGAAAATGGGTTGAAAAGAGGCAGAACCCTTAAAAACAGCGAGACAGAAAGACGGAGAGAGGGGACAAAGATCACTCATCTCCTGAGAGAACAGTTCAAGGCCACCATGCATTAGCTTTTAGCAGGATGGATTAAGTCAAGTTTGAGAGTGCGCATCCTAAACCTCCCCCATGCCCCCTTCTTACCCCTCCCATATACTCCCCTTTCAGTATAACAGCATTAAAAATGGCAACATAATACCATCTCATTGCATCATATTCCAAACGGGGGAGACAAAAAAAGACATGGAACAAAAGCATTAAGGCTATGGTTCCTTTGCTCTCGCCTCTCCGTGTACTCTCTCACTCGTTCCCTTGCTTGCCGGCCCCTGTGGCCTGACAGCCTAGACTCGCAGAGCTGGCAAAAAGCTGCTTTGTTGCCATAGTATCAACTCCCACTTTTGATACTGTCATTTCAAGTAGGATATGGTAGCCTTGATACAATATGTTCCCCATTTCCATTAAAATAGTTGTCGAAGAGGATGCTGTAGACTTTGGATTACACTTGACTGTGCCTGACAAGCGCCCCCCCCCCCAACACATACACCCACTCCCCATCTCTCTCTCCATTTTATTAATGACCAAAGGACCCCCACCCTAATGCCCAAATGGAAAAGAGAAAGAAAGAGAGAGGGAGAAGCTATGGGAGTAGAGAAGAGGAGGGGTAGAAGACTGAGTGAGAGTGAGAGACAGAGCTATAAGAGGCCTTTTATGTACTCCTATCCATAAACAAAGTGAGATCCCAAAGTTCACTCCCCTGAATGTGCTCTCTGGATGAGTTGGGAACCAACTAAGGACAAGAAATTTTGATAATACCCGAAGCCCCCTTCCTCACCCCCTCTCGATCTCACATAGACACTAACTCCAACCCCCTGTTTACAAAGGGTCCAAATGCACTACGCTGCTTGAAGGGTTCCTCTCAAACCTGTTACAACCACAAAAAACCATTAAGGCGATATGATAGGACTCTGCTGAATAACTTTAGGAACCATTAGGAACATGTGCAAAACACCTCTACAGTTTCAGAAGCTGCACTTAAATGAAGGGATTTTGATGAGAACAAAAAAACATTGTTTCAACATGACCCTGGACATTATAAGTCCGCTCAGGCAAAATGAGATATCCGCCTCCTTTCACTATGAACTTAGCTTCCACCTCTTCCGAAAAAAAAAAAAAAAAACCTGACTGAAAGAAGTAGATTGATCCCATTGATTTAAAATGCCGGGTGCAAGACTGGCTGTCAACAAGTGACTGTGTAAACTGCCACACAGAAAACAGTTGGCTTCTCACATGATAATCCAGTCCTTATACAATTAGTTTCCACACCAACTTGATGAACATACAAAAAAACTACCAATGAGTCACAAGCCATTTCCAAATGTGTAAACTGAGGAAATATTACAATATCACCGACAGAATGAGGCTGTGCTGCACAGTTAAGCACATTCAGTTATAGAAATGATGGTAAACACACTATGAACCAGACAACTGACTGCACACAGCTGGGAGTGAAATGGGATAAGTGGGCAATGGGATGAAGGCTGGTGAGGGGTAGGCTTTCTGCCCTCCCATGGGTGGGGGGTGTGGAGTAAGGAAGGGGAATAAACACTCCAGCTCCCCCACACCCTGGCCTGTTTTATTCTTCTCTTCTATCAATGAGGGGATTAGGGAGACGGTCTCAGTGCGGCCACAAGGGCTCTCTCAATTTCGGACGGATAGCGGAACATCACTGAGAACAGAGGACAAGGGAAAAAGTCATAAACAGAAACGGTAAAGCAAAATTAGATAAGAAATAAATTTAGGCCTGAATATCATAAGCACAATGGTAACAAAAAAACAAAGAATAACAAAGACGCTGTGCATTCTCATTCTGGGAATTGCGGCTGATGCTATTAAAATGCTGGCGATGGAGTAAAAACGCTTCTAAAGAAACCTGAAGAAAGGAGCAAGAGAGAAGCAAAGCAAAGTTGACACCACGTTTGTTGGGAAGTGAGGGATGCACCGCTTCTTCTGTGGTCTTATGCAAAGCAGGGTCACACAGGGCTATGAGGTGCACAATAATGCTGATTACACGCATATGCTAATTATTACACGCTAATCAAGTACAGTAGCCTTATATTCAATACTAATGCCTGGAGACCGCTTCTCTTCCCGCAGCCCATTTCTTTAAGGTAAAGGGAAACTATTAATACTTGAGAGCTGCTACAACCAATCTAAATACGCAAGACCACTAACTACAGGGGTGTCAGTCAACTGAAATGACAATTTAGAGATAAGAGATGAGGCAATCAGATGAGCCTAGTGACTGACAGTTTCCGACTCGCAGTGCAGCTCGCACATTAAAAATGCATAATATAGAGTCCTGGAATGGCTGAAGTAATGCAAAACAGTACGTGGTGACAGACAAGTTGACAAAAATATGTGAACGGAAAATATTCTTCTGAAAAAAATGCTGATTATGCTGATGGTTTTCTTCAGTGTATACTGAACCTAACTGTCTTGTGGTTCTGTATAAAGTTAGAAGGCTGATCATACTTTTATACCAAGTGTTGTTTAAACTATGCATTCCTGACATTAGAAACCGTGGTTAAAAACAAATACACTCTGGGTCCAAGGTTCAATTCAAAGGTTGATGAAAACTGAGCAAACTCATCCTCTGATGAAGACCATGTGATGTGGTCGTAAGCTCCGAGACAAGTGGATATGTCGGCCTTGAGAGGAGATTTTGCATATTTTGCATAATCATATTCTGTGTTAATTTACTGAAACTCAGTGGCTGCACTTGTTAAAAGTGGTCTAACATGATTTTTAAGATGACTTAGCCTCCACTTTGAATTAAAAAAAAAAATGATACAGGAACTGTGTTTTGCAATAACTAGGACTGTCTCCTCACTGAATGCTCAATAGTGCCATTTTTATGGACAGTGCAGGACAATGACCTAACATGTCCTATTCCACAAGCATTTACACAACTACCTTTCGTCAATTCTTCTCATAAGCATTTTGACCAACTACCAAGTTGTTTACCAGTGAATGGCAGAAACTTCCATGAGAAGAAAGGCATTTGTGCAACTCTGCATGTTCTGCCGGCCATCGTAGGAGGAAGGAAATATGTGTAGGTGGGGGGTAGGCAGGCGTGCAGAGAGGACAAGGGAGCATCCTGCATCCTGCATCCTGTCTACACTTGTAGAGAAGCTGACTTGGTGACTTCTGTTCCCCTTTATATGACTTTCGATGAGGGATCAGTCAAACCAGGAAAGAGGAAACATACTTAGAAAACCACACACCAGTGTAGTATTAGTGTGATGTGTGAAAGAAAGAAGGAGCAGAGACACACAGACCTACTTTCATGTGAAGTTGATCATTTAGTGTGAACAAGCTGTTATCTATTCTTTACCGTCAGTGGGTGGGGTGTGGCCTGAGGACAACTTTGAACTGTGCAGGAAGACTTTACAGTTTATTTTAAAGTGTTTATCTATCTGGCCACAGAGGTTATCTAAGTCCAGTTCACTAGTAGCCATGTCTCCTATATGAAGCGATCAAACAGCTGCACTGTCCAGGACACAGAGGGGAAATCACTAATGTAAACAAAGTCCCTCCTAAAGCAGCGCGATAGGAAACAGCCTGTTAGCATCATAGCTCATACTAGAAACGTAGCTGTAGTTGTTAGCATTATCCCCCTGCAGTCATTTTACCTATTAGCTAGTATATAGACTCATAACTTCGTCTCCTCTGACGTTAACTCGGTATCAGGTAGCTAACCACTGTTAAAACTGACGAGGGTCACTAGCCTGCTAGCTAGCTAATGCTACCTTGCGTCACATGTGACCCTCGCTGTTCTTAACTACGCATTCACATATTCCACCATCGACTCAGTTCAAACACCCGCTTCTTCGTGACTGTGACAAACTCGGTGTCGAGTAATGTTCACTTGCTCTGAGGGCTGGAATACGGCGGCTAGCTCAGGTAGCTAGCTCGCAAGCTAACGTCATTAGCAACTAGCTCACCTTCAGTTTCACTTCATACGTGGTGTGTCTGCCCCTGCCCACCCCGATGGTCTCGGGCTTGATCACGTCGATCTCTAGGAAGTTACTCGGGGGTCCATACGCGTCATTTAGGTTCTGAGGCTTGGAGAAGAGCCTTCTTGTGTCAGCTATGGTGTCAGCCATTTCTCCCCCGTCCTTCCAGCAGCTCGGGACAGCGTGAAGCTAGACAGAGTACGCATATGTACATTCCGCTGGTGACCTTCAAAGTAAACCGTTTGGCGGACATTGTCTCCATGTAATGGGAATTATAGCCGGAAAATTACATTCTTTTATTCAAAGGTACATATTAAGGAGGAATTAAATTCCACGTGAATATGTTTCTGTGTGGTTTTATCTTTCACACGCCTATAAAGCGTAACCGCAAGTTTTATTTTGAAGGCAAATCAAGCAAGTTCCGACGGAGCGTCTGTCACTACGACTTCCGATCAGCTGAGACTCACCTGACGCTGTTCGGATCCCTGCTGCTCGGTTTGTTTACAACTCGCCAGTGGGCACATCCGTTCATTTAACCATACAAACATGTTTATACTACACATATATATTCACGTTTACAATCTAAGACAGAAACGGTTAATCATATATGAAAAATACAAGCGATTAACAGGTTGGAAATTATTAAAATGCAGATAATTTCATGAAAAAATACATTTTGATGTATTTGGATTTGATTTTCACTAAGAAAGCAGACAGCAGAATAATCATAATTCCAATAATAATAATATTAAAAATTAACGAATGTACAATGTAGTTATAAAAACAGTGTTCTGTATGCACATACATTTTTTCCGATTTGTTTTTGTTATCAAACCGCCTTTATTTTAATGCAAAGAAATGATTTCTAAATCAGGATTTGTTTCATTTAAATTCCCCTGCATCCCCCGTCTTGTCTTGTATGTGTCAGGGAATGTCAATAAAGCTTCAGCGTTTCAAAACATCATGGCGGCCTGCACGGTCCCTGCAGCGCTCAGATGCTTCATGAAATGTTTCCTCAAAGACTCGTCTCTTCGCTCCGGGAGGATTTGCAGCCCGTCAGTGAGTCGCACGGGAAAAGGTGCGAGTCTCTGCCTCATGTTGTAGTGAACGATGATGTGTCTGTGTGAGATTTAAGATGTTAAAGCGGCTTCTATGTGGTGCAGGTGACTGTGCTGCCTCCATCAAAATAACCTCTGGGTTATTATCTTTACCTCAGTGCCCTCTCTGTCCAATCTGACTCATTGCATTTGCTGGAATCAGGGTATTTTTAAAGCAAGTTAACACGTCACTTTGGTTGAAATGCTTCAAGGTTGCATCAGTCAGAGGACGTGCACTTCATCCTCGTCCTCCTCCTCCTCCTCTTCGTCATCTGCTGACAGCGTTGCACACTATGATCACCTCACTCAGTGTGGATCCCTGAGGGAAGATGCTCAGCAGAGACGTGTCCTGCAGCGGCTGCAACAGCTGCAACAATCCCTGAAGAAGTACAGCAACAGCACGTACCTGAGTCCACCTCCTCCAACGCTAGAGTCAGAGGATGACAGCTGTCAGCCTCAGAGAGATGCAGACCCCTGCACACCTACAGCTGGAGACAAGGGGGGTGAATCACCTGCTGAGGTAACAAAAGTATTGGGTTAAGATGTGTCATAATGACATTAAGCACAAGGTCTGATGATTTTTGTCTTCAAAACTCTTAAGTACAATCATTCATGGAGGTCTGTGCCCATACTGACTCACTTAAATAAATCTGATACTAATATATTGGCGATATGTATATTAAAGCATTTGGCAAGGATTTATGATGCGATTCTTATGACAGAGAAACGTTATTGTGGCTTTATATTTTTCAGCTTAAGTATAAACTTTATTATAAATAAGTATAACTCAAAAGAAAACACAAATACAGCAAAGTATATAGAGCCTTAACATAGAAAATAATGAGAAAATGTCTCAGTGTGTCATGTGGAGTCGACCCATCGTGTGTTACTGAACACAAAATAAACCCCCTCCCCTTTTCCTGTTGAGTACTGCTTCACATTGATGAGAGAGCGAACGAGGATGACCCAGCTGCCAGTCTATGAGTGGAGATCTTATGTGTATGGATGGCAATACGATTTAATCTATACTTAATAATTTATTGGCTGAAACAAGATAAGTAACTGGGAAAACAAAACAAGTACATATTCAAAATGAAAGGGATTTCTCAGTCAATATGTTGAGTAGTTAATGAACTGAAACACAACTACCACTCTTTTATAATCCAAACTCAAGTTCCACTTACTAGCTTTCTCCAGAGCTTTCATTTGGTGAGCGTGAGTCATCATCACATGGAGTTTGCTTCATTATTATTTTTTAGGTACCGGATGACTTTTTCAGCTGTAGCTGTTACGATAACAGCAAAACTCATACAGATGATGTTATCATAGCTGCTGAACCTGCATTTTAACAGATCCATGTGACCGACGATTGAGCAAACTCCCTTCATGAATGAAGACCATGTGATTATGTTGAAAGTTTATGGAAAAGCTCTTAAGTTGACGTTTTGGGTCAGTGAATAGATTTTTAAGGGACATTGACTTTTTTCCGCTGTGGGAATTTTTAAGGGCTCTATATAATGAACTAAGAAGTCCACACATAAAAAGACAAAAACAATTCTGGTGCTCATGTAAAATGGTGGAAATAAAAAATAGTGCACATGCTAGAAAACGAAGTGATTTTTGACACAGATTAGGATTTACATGAGATCGTGGGTTTTATTTAAAGGCTTTAAACAGCGTGGCATCTGGACTCTCATTCTGTCATAAAGCCCCATTGACGTCTAACATATGGAGGGACTTCACAGAGGCCACGGCACTGTACTTGAGTTGCATCACTGATGGTGGGCATGGGGCTCAGGTCAAAGGGAGGGTAGGGGTCTGGGAAGTGTATTGTGCATGTGAGTTTTGGAACGGCGTAATGTAGGGGGCTGTTGTTGTTTTTAGGTCAGGGGAGCTGACTGTCTAGTATTTGGTGGTGGGAGTGTTTTTTTTGTTGGTGAGTTGGCACAAACACACAGGGTTAGGCAGAGATTTTGGAAGGCAGCAGGGCAGACCTCCCGCTGGGTCCATCCCGGCACCCCTCTCACTCTCTCACCATCCCCATGCAGTAATGAGGGGATCCCCATTGTCTGGGCCATTCTTGTCCTTTTTGCTTTTGATTCGGGACTCTGACAAATACTTTGGTGTGAGGCTATCAACACCCCCCCTCTCTCCTTTTGCACCTTATTTCTTGCACCGATTCGCTCACACACACACACACACTGACTGGAGTACTTATGCAATTATTCTGGCTTGAATCAGGTCATACCACTGTCCTTTCGGTGTCTGTTCTCTCTGTGAAAGTGCCGCCATTGTCCTCACTAACTGACCAAGTCTGTGAGGAGAGTACACTTGACTTAATATTGACCCAATGTGGCGTGGTTTTGCGGATGGTCGGCTAACAATGGGCCATTGTTTGGTGGGAGCTGCACTCTCCAAGTCAGACCTGCATCATGGAGTCGTCCTGTACACGGTCGGCCTCCAGGAGGACAGTACAATTATATCAGTTAAACCTGGACTCATTAAACCGCTCTGTTAACCTTCCTATTGAGAGACATGGAGTCTGGCTGTAGATAAACATGTTCAAAAGCAGGTTTCCTTGAAGTTATTTCCTTGAGTTATTTCAAAGCCAAAGTGGCCATGTCCTGCATGTGAACTTTTCACTCATGTGCCAGGCTATATCCTCCACCAGGAGGTGAGACAAGGCCACAGAGCTCAGCTAGACAGAGTGGCTGAGGGGCAGCCTTGTCCTTCTCCACTCTGCCGAAGCAGAATGGCTTCCAGCCATCACTGACAATTACCCCACCATGCCAGAGGGCAGCTTGGGAAGTCAGGGAGAAGTCACACACTGTTATGCCAGAGCAGACAGGAAAGGCTTGTTGCTTTTCCAATATTTCACTCAGGACAGGCGGTGGACGGAGGGATGGATGGACAGAGGGGGGTGGATGGGGAATAAATGAAGGGGAGGAGCGGGGAGAGGGCAAAGAGAGAGGATGGGTAACAAGTTTGTTTTTTCATTTAGTTTTCACTCCGCCATTGTCTGCATTTACCAGAGTCAAGTGCTCCTTGTGCGGTGGGCACCGTGTCCCGTCCCCATGGAATACTTACTAAATTAAATTTTAAGAGGACAATCCTTTCATTTAGTGCCGAGTTAATCCCAAAGCTATTTGGCGTTGCCCAGTTACAGAGAAGGAGAATCATCAACCTTGCTCTATAAATCCTGTGTTATAAATCTATAACACAAGGACTTTGTGTTGTTCCATTTATTTCATGAGATTTCCTAGTATTGCTTGTTGAAATTGTGTTTCCATGAAAATACTTCCATGTTTCCTTTTACTGATATGTCCAAATACGCCACAAGTTATCATTACATGTCATATTCCAGCTGATGCATGTGTTTACACGGCTGTGGCACTCTTTAGAGTTATTTGGCTTTACTCGATATTCTCAGCTCGGTCACAAAGAAGACTTTTTTTTTTTTGAAGCAAGGATCTTTTGATGATAGGAGGCAGGCAGCACAATGACTTCCAGCAGCACCTCAATGCAACAGTACCGTATCACAATTAGCAGCGCTAAACAGACTGCACAGACAAGTCCACTCCATCTTGTATGGAGCCTCATCCAGTCCTCTCCGTTTTGTCTGACAAATCCCCCCATTGTTCCTCTGATGATGCTTTTCTTTCGTGGGAACCCTGGCTTGTCTTGTTGATTAGATCCCCTTTGTCTTCCTCCCCTGCAGTGGGCGAGTCTGGAGAATGTGAAACCTCACACTGTAGTGGTGGCTTAATGCCTCAGCATACTTTGTTTATTAAACGATGATTCAGTTGTGTATGGTAATGAATATAACGCAGTTTATTTAGGTCACCCACTATATTGTCTTGTGCTTTTAAGAGGATATCAATCTATGCATTCATTTTTGGATGACCCTGGTGATTTGAGGTTAACTGTTATTATGCATTGTTGTTTTTTTAATGACAAGCAATTGTTAAAAGTTTTAGTATAAAAAAAAGCTCACTATAGTCATTACCTTATTTTTCCTTTTGTTATCTCCAGAAGGAAGAGCCCAATCCACGACCACCCAAAGGTTTCTATATCTATGGAGATGTTGGTAAGATCACATTTCGAACATTTATTCTTTTCATGCAAATACACATTACTAAGGCATTTTATATGCTGCTAAACCTCTTTAAAGATTTATGAGATGAGAATATAAGTGTGAAAATGATTTTTTCCTTATTGTCGCCCCCTTTCAGGCACAGGGAAGACCATGCTCATGGATTTGTTTTACTCCCACGTGGAGAACACCAGTAAAAAGAGAGTCCACTTCAATGGCTTCATGTTAGACATCCACAAAAGTTAGTATTCTCCTCCCACTTCAATTTGCTAACTACTTGACTTTCATGACTTTACGGAAGTTTTCTGACTCTCCGCTCGCTCCAGATCCTGTATTTATCTCTGTGTTTGTCCTGAAGCTCTGCTGCTAATTGTCTACCATTATGCATATAAGTGGAATTATTGCTTTATTCAGTGTTGTCAGCGGGATTGTGCTGCCGATGCAGGTGTGCTTTAAGACGTGCCTGACGTTTGTGTACTGCTTAAAGGGATCCATCGGAGGAAACAAAGCCTGCCAAAACGAAGGCTGGGGAATATGTTCACCTATGACCCCATATCGCCGGTTGCCATGGAGATCAGCAACGAAACCTGCCTCTTGTGTTTTGACGAGTTTCAGGTGAGCGAGTGTGTTGCAGGCACTTTTTGTGTGTGCGCCCGTGTGTGTGCACGTTTGCCAGTTGATAAAATCTTCTTGAACATTAGCTACAAGCAAACAGACGATATGATTTCTGAGTTTTTTGATCCATTTTATCACCTTAGGGCTGGGCAATAAAACAATATCAATAATTATCACACTATAGTTCTCATCAATAGCAATATAACAAAGGTTCAGTATATATCGATGTGTGGCATTCATTCATTCTCTGCTCATAAAGAAGAGTGTAAAACCACAACCTTCACTCAGGAGCAAAAAACAGTCTAAACAATCTAAAATAATAATAATGTGACTTTTTTCATAATCCGATGAGATGCAGATTCAAAAAACATTCATATGAATATGCTGGTGCAACAGCCAAGAGCAGATATTGTATAATATAATGAAAGTGTGGATTCCATACAAATGAAAGCTCCTGAACATGAGACTTGCATTTGCTAAAAGGGTTATTTGAAAGTTTAAAAAGAAAATAATAGTAACTTTATTTTTAACTCTTCTTTGTTGATAAGCCGTTTGTACTAGATTTTCTGATCATTGTCCCAGCTGGTGTCTTTCCTGTCTGGACAACTGTGGGTTTTTGATCATGTTCCCACAAAAACAGGACTGGGGACATCTAGTGGGCTTTTTGAATATAGTTTAATTGCACAATGACTTCCAGCAGCAGCAAAACATTCTCTCTGTAGTAGCATATAGTTAAGAGGAAATTTAGTACAGTAGATTCAAATGTGTCAGACTGTCAGTAGAGTCAGTGATCTCCAGTTACTTGTCTACATGCTCACATTTTCTCTCAAATCTTTACAACCAAGTCATCTGTAGTTTTTGTGCAGTGGCTACACACAACTAAAAGGGAACTTCAGCCATTAGCGCTGCCGGTTTCTCTTTATTCTACCAGTGAGAGAGAGAATCGCATCTGAAGCTCCCTCCATTCTCTGCCATGTAACCATTCATTCACCGCTGCAGAGAAAGACGTGCACCTCTGTCTTTGTCATCAGCAGCCAAACACATCTGTCCGCAGCCCGACGTCGCTCCTCTCGCTGATATCATTACAGTTAATGTGGGCAGGTCAGAGGTCACGGAAGGTGCGCTTTCTGTCTCTAATTACTCTCTGTGCATCTGCGAGGATCAAGAGCTGCTCCTTTTCATCCACCTGTCTTTCACATTTTAAACCTGCGACGCTTGTTTGTGCATTCTCATTGATTTGTTTTGTTTGCCGTCGCCTGCCTCGCCATTCTCGCTCGTCGACTGTTGCTACCGGTGAATGGAGGGGGAAACAAGAAGACATGTGCATGTTGTTTGTGATGCATAAACAAGAGGTTGGGAGGTTGGGAGAGGGAGGGGTCGATGGGGTGGGGGGTTGGCGAGGGATCTATACCAATCAGCATCCTCTTCCACTCAGCCATGCAAATGAGGCTCTGGGTATCAGTCGCTCTTCTGCTTCCTTAAGTGAGTGGAGCTAGAAAGCGACTGGCGGCGGCGGGTCAGATGGATCTTATCCTCTTAAATGCTAATGACATTTCTCCATTCTCTTCATTAGCGCCGTGCCATTATCAGTAATTTGTAGCCCCCCTCCCTCCTTTTACGGCCCCCCGCCCGGCTCCCCTAATGAATACTCGCCATTGAGAGGTCGGAGATGGAAAGATGGAGAAGAGGGCGAGAAGGGACGAAGAAGAGTGAGAAGAAAGCGCTTGAGCATCATTGTCTCAGGGCCTCAGTCACTGTGCAGCCTCTGTGAAATTGCTCATAGGTTGTGTACATAAAGAGGTGTAACATCAAAAGAGGTTTAATTTGGCACCCGTGTGCCTCGCCGTAAACTGACAGCCGCTTGAGTAATTGGATGCTCATTTAAATATCAGCATTGGCGGACGGAGATTGCACCATTATTTTTGTGCTCCACAAGTGCAACATCAGGCCCCTCCACCTTTCTCATTCTGTGGGTACCCATTCTCTTTCCCTCTCCCCTTACCCATTCAGCAATCAATATTGCCCCTCACACTATGCCCATGTTGAGGGCACATGAATAAACAAATCCAGGTTGTATAAAAGGTCATTTTTAAATGAGTCTTTTGAAATGAAAATAAAATCCTGCGGTCGGAGGAAATGGGGGCCCCTTCAGAAAGAGACACAGCCTTGGCTTACTGTTGCTTCTCATTACACACACACACACACACACACACACACACACACTAATTTGATGTCCCTAGCCACCTCTCCTTAGTGAAATCAAGGCTTTAACACAAATGTTAATCAAGTATTGGCAAGGGCAGTGAGGCTAATAAGCAAAAGCAGAAGACTCTCCAGGGTATGAAAGGAGGCATATGCTGGGGGTATGGCCGTCAGAAGTGCCTGTTATGTACAGAAAAATAGGTAAGAGGGAGTAAGAGGAGAGGGCGGGACGGATGCATGACTGAGATGTCTTTTCCTTTTTATTCAACACATCCTAAACCTCAAAAGGTTTCATTCAATAATATTACTCGTTAACCGTAACTTCAGCTTTAAAATGTCAATAGTTTAATTTTCATCAATGTTACAGGGTCATCATTTTTGATCATTTTTACTGATATTTATGAGTGTGTACAATGTGATGCAGATCAAAATAAAAATCTGTATCTAGTGAGTTTAATTGTGGTTTAATCAGGGAACTGTCAGGCCTTGGAAGAGATATGTGCTCTACTGAGTGCTGTTTTAGTTTGTCTGGTACATATAAACTACAGGACGGGTTACCACAACAGTTTGTGGAGGGATGCTTCAGGGAGGAACCCGTTCAATTTGATATTTTCATTAATCATGAGGGATTGATTCAAGGATCTAGACTAAAAAATCAGGCATATTTTTGGGGACTGATATCTATAACTGAATTTAAACTAATGTTGGGCCTTGGTGGAGGTATGTGCTCTCAGAAGGCTGTTGTAGATTATTATTGTATTCAATATATTTTAGAATTAAATGATACATTTCCAAGAAACAAAAATCTGCATACCTGAAGCTCCTGTTAAAGGATTTTTTTGGCCAGTGAAATTTTGGGCAGCCTTAAACAGGAGCTTTAGGTGTGTGGATTTTTTCCTTTTTAATTGTTTTGTGATGGTTTGTTGATCGAGCCCCCCTCCGTTGTTAGATGTGCTTGTCGTTCCTATTTTTTTAACGTTAAATTGAATAAAACTGACGACTTTCAGCGACATTGAAAGCTTAAAATAAAACATTAATTCTCGTACCAGTCTGTCATCATGCATAATCTGGCGTGTTGTATACTGTATGTGCTGCTTTGATGAGTGCACATCACATGGTAACATGATTTCTCCCTTCACGGATGTTCAAAAGAACAACAGAGGTGAAAGAGGGCGAGATGAGAGAGGAAGAACAAAATGAGAGCACTGGATCACGAATAGAAAGGTCAGAGCTCTTCATCTAACAGCCAGCGACTCGCGAACGTCCTTGCTGCAGTGCTGTCATTGAAACTGTTTATTGTGGACTCATTGAAATAATGTAGATGAAAAAGGCAAAGGACGGTTGAAATGAATTAAGTTATTATAACCTGGAAAAGCCTTGTCCACTGCACACACATACATACACAGTTTTTATCTGCCTGTATATGGTCATCTTGGATGGAAGCTTTGTCTGCCATTGTGACCCCTGTCTGGATTCACATTGCTCCGTTTTTCATTATTCTTTTTTCTCCCGCTTGTTTTCTCGCTTGGGTTCAGTCATTCTCGCGTCTGCTCAGTTGATTAGCCCCGGGTCCGCCGCTCTGCCTCAGCTACTTGTCCTCAGCAGAAAGCCGCTTTGTGACCATTTGCAGTCAGTTCAAGTGGTTTAGGTGTGCGTGGATGTGTGCAAGTGTGAATGGCCATGACCAGACACAAAGGATTGAATGAGCACACCTGAATGACACTAATCAACATGAAGTGTTAATAGCATGGTTTGACCTCACACACACACACACACACATGTGCAGTGTGGCAAGAAAAAGGTAAATTATACACTACATGAATGTCCTTCTTCTTCTCTGGTTCTCTTCAGGTGACTGACATCGCTGATGCCATGATCCTGAAGCAGCTGTTTGAGACCCTGTTCAGAACTGGAGTGGTGGTGGTGGCCACTTCCAACAGACCCCCTGAAGGTACGACAACAGCGTCTGAGGACATACGTGTTGTACTTTTCATTTGCTTTCAGCCACTGCTTACAACTTGTTGTGTTGTTACTAAACATCCAGCTGAAGAAATGGATAGTTTAGTCCCTATCTGCAACCATCAGTTATACTGTAATGCTATTTATTTTCCAAATTTGCCTTTAAAGGTTCAGTGTGTAGGATATTCGAGTGGTGAAGTTACATATTGCAGCTGAATAGCCCTCACCTCGCCCTCCCCTTCCAAACATGAAAGAGAACCTGTGAGTTTTCATTAAAAACTCAAAAGGTTTAGTTTGTCCAGTTTGGGCTACTGTGAAAAAAATGTCGGCGTCTGTAGAGAGGACCCGCTCCTATTGTATATATAAAGTATTTAAATATAAAGCGATCATTCTAGGGTATGGAAAACAACAATTAGTGCAATTTAGATGAAACACAGTAGTATTATTTTATATTCAATTTCTGCCTATAGATCCCTTTCATCTAAATATGAAGCACTGGACCTTTAAGTCTATTCAAAGCTGAGTCTATTGTGAAAATAATCTTCTTGAACTAAAAACTAAAAATCTTATATATGCAATATTTAATGTACAGTCTCGAGCTAATCTATGCTGATGGTGAATCTATTGATTTACTTCAACCTGATTATTTATGCCAGCTTGAAAGACTGAACCAACAGCTGCACTGACAAAGAAATATAGAAAGATAGACATTGATAGTAGCAAATACTACTACCCCCATCAAAATTGAACACTTTACTCATCCCTTCTCCAACATACCGTGTAGTTTCCCCCCAAATGTATGTGGCCCTTTTACTTCCATCCTGAAGTTGTTTCCAGTTTCTTGATTTACAGTCTGTCAGTTAATCATTTGACTTATAAATCCAAGTAATTTTGGAGAAGTTAGGAAAATAAATCCTGGTATGAGAGGAGTTGCTGAAAGTTCACATCAGTGTAGCACGACACTGTCAGGGTTAACTGCTGCCGTGCATCTTTTGTGATTGATTGCACCGATGCAAGCATGTTAGGAATTCTAGGATTTATAGAAAGCTCAGTTCAGGATTGAGAAGGCAAAACGACAGATATTGCCTGAGTCCTGTAAGGCCCACTTAATGATTCAGTAAACTGTAAAGATCCTCTCCCTGCAGCTACAAACTAACATCAACACATTCGACAGCTGTTTTAACATCCACCCGCATCGTTAACTTAATAGATTTATTCAAAAGTGCTGAACTCCAGCAAGAATCAATTGAGCTTTTAAGACCAAACCAACTGCTGCGTATTTACGACGATTAACCAGAGAAAAAAGAGAGAGAGGAACTTGTGATGCAGCTCTCACCTGTAGAAACACATGATGCAACCTTCACTTTGATGTTGCATTTACCGCCAGCGGAGTGAGGCTGCACGAAGACGGTGATCAAGGTGGAGATAAATGCATGATGTGTCATCTGACGTCTTTCTTTCTCCGGGAAGATGTTGCACATCCGTAAGTGGGCACGAAGCAAGATGGCTCTCGTGGACAAAGACGCACGCCTCTGATATTTACTAGCTATTAAGAACAAAGAGCCAACCCATGAAAACTTGATAGAGAGCCCACTTGGTATTAATTACATGGTTAATGGAACACTGAAAGCCATAAGAGACAACTAGACATGAAAGGCATACATTTTCCACCTTTATTGATGTGGAGATGGTGGTATCAAAAAGCTCTGGATGTGTTTAGAGGCGGAATTTAGAGATGGGATTCTGCTAGAATGTCTAAAGCAGTGTTTTGTTGTTTTAATGCACTAATAAAGCTTAATGACATGAAGAGTGGGAGGGAAGATTTAAGGAAAGGAACACTTTCACCACATAGGACTTCACATCCACTTTATGTTAATGGACTGAGCTTTGAATGAATCGTTTTAATGACGGTGTGTGTCCTGCATGCATCAATTTATAATAGTCAACGCAGCATCGTGGGAAATATTCATATGAAATTAACTTAAAGCAGCTCCATGTGTGAGGGAATAGGAGGACGTTTTGGTAAATTTGCTCATTCGCTTTTATGCTGAGTGATCGATGAGAAGATCAACACCACTGTCACGTCTGTGTTGTAAATACGAAGCTGTCATTAGCTTAGCTTAGCATGAAGATGGCACACAGCTAACCTGACTCTGCACAAACTCAAAGAATAGACTGTAATAAAAAATAGGCGTAAAATGCGCAAGTGTCTGAAATCTATATTCTCCACTTACTGCAAAAACATGTCCATAGAAGTATATATGAGAAAATGACTCACTTGATCTTGTCAGGTCAGTTAAGGACTGTTAAGTAAGTTTTTCAACGTGCATATATTACATGATTGAACTTGATGCATTAAAACAAATATGTCCACAATAAACCAGAAAAGAATGAGAAATGAATGCGCTGCGGAGGTGCTGTTGTTTATTTCCAGTCTTGACGCTGAGTATGGATAACAAGTTGTAGCTTCATATTTACTGTGTAGACATGAGTCCAGTTGATCTTCTCATGTAAATTTCGGCAATCAAGCAAATGTGTCTCTGTCACGTCTCCCACACAGTCCTTCACAGTGTCGGAGTGTTGTTTGTGTGTCAGGTCCTACTGTAGTAAGCTCGAGCCCAAACATCAACAACAACCACCGACCACTTGTTTGCATTCGCAGCTGGAGAGAGCTTAAACATCAGTGTGTGTGTGTCTTTGTGTTTGTGTGTGAATCCCTATCTGTTTTATCTGTCTATCAGGGATGCTACTTCAGATGTAATTTGTTCCAGCCGAGCTAATTGAAACCTCCATTCAGCGAGCTGCTGTGGACATTGTCCACGCTGAAAAGGCGACAGTCCTTTCTCTCGCCACCATTGTTTGGGAATGTAATGAATTTTATGCTGCTGCTGCTGCCGGTAGAGAAATCCATTTTTCTCCCCCTGTTCCCAGTGCTTTTGTCGTGCCTCCCCCACCCATCCTTCAGTTCATCAATAGACACTTTATTTGCCAATCTGTGGCGGGGGAATGACATTATTAGGAGGCTAAACAGCAGCTCTAACACAGGCCCTCCCCTCCTCTTTCAGATCTGTACAAAAACGGACTTCAGAGGGACACCTTCCTACCTTTCATCGACGTGCTGAAGGTAGAGACAAAGTCATCCCTCTCTCTGTCTCTCTCGTCTGGTTAATTTATTCACTTGTTTATCACACACACATAAACACGCTCGCATGTGTCCCTGTATGTTTTTTTTTTGTGCAAGTTGCTCCTCTGTGGTTTGATGTTTTCTGCTTCCTGGATGCCTCGCACATGTGTCACAAAGCTGTCTTTGATCACTGAGAGACTCGCACACGCAGAGAAAGAAAGAGAAAGGTAGGGAGAGATGGAAAGAGCCCAAGAGAGTGAGCACAGGTAATGTGAATGGGACGTGGGCGGACAGAGCGACTGACCCAGACTGCTTGCATTTCAAAAGTAAAGGAGGGGTGGGGGGGAGTCTGAGGAGAGGAGAGGAAAGAGGAGCGATACGGCAGTTAGCATTTCTAGCGAAAAATCTACTTTGCAATTTAAGCAGGTAGCGCCATTATCTCGCCTGCATCTCAGATGATCATTGATGTGTTTGGAGTGATCGCGATCATAAATAGTAGCATAATCATTTGTTGTCATGCATTTTGCAACAGAGGAGGGAAGCATTCTTGCATCTTTATTGGTATTCAATCGAAATAGGTGAGCGGTATCCCACGGCAGCAGATTATGACATAAATGCAAAACTTTTTTTAGGGGTAGGAGGAAACTATTTTTATCATAGGTCCCTCACCATTCCCACTCCTTAAAAATGTAACACCTATACATTGAAAATGCGAGGCACAGTAAGAAAAGTACTCCAATATAAACTTATTTTTGCATATAACATTATTTATGCAACTGTTAACATATAGCATCTGAGCAAATAAGGTACATGGTTTAGATATTTCTGCTTTTAAAAACTCAGTAGCTACATACACTTTGCAAAAACCCTTTGCAAACCAGATTTAAGGATATTAAATTGTACCTTAGTGATGTGCCGCTTCCTAGAAATCATTATTAGCCTTATTGGCCTCAAATCCCCACTATTAGTCAGGGTCTAGTCATTGGCTTGTGGTTGCAACACTAGTATGATCCCATGACGTGAACATGTTACCTGTTACCTGTCACGTCAGTCTTATTGATCTGCAGCATCCCGGCCACAGAAGGTCTTAGGGCCACAGCGCCACTGCAGCTTCAAACGCGCAAATGTCAATGTGCCACAACCGGGGAGGCCTCGGAGTCACCCTGCTCCCCACCCACTCACCCAGCAGCACCCTTGCCCTCTCTAATCCACCCTCATCAAGGTCCTGAATGCCTGTTGTCCCTCTCTGCCCCGCACTACCTCCTCTCTTTCAGGGTCCCATGTTCCCCTTTGTGAGGCCATCTGGTTTTCAGGGTGTTTTTTTTTGGTTGGGGGGTGCGATGGCTTCTCTATAGAGACCTGTTCTGTAAAGTTGAAGCGTGTTTTAGCGGGGTCACGCTGCTAACTAGCTGACCCTTAATAGATTGAATTAATACTTGCAGGCACTGACGGTGTGGGTCCTGATGCAGCTCGCTCCTCTGTGCGCAGGCCTGAGCAACTTTCAATGGGGCTGTTGAAAAGTAAAAAATAGCCTCTGACCTCTCCTCCCTATCACCTGAGCCAGAGCGTTAGAGGTTAATCCTCTGTCTCTGGACGCTCTGCTGATGTCTTTATTTAACCGTTGACTTCTGATTAGTTGGGACCCTTTTATAATCGCTTTCTCCTCCCTAAATAATCCAGCTTCCTAACTTAAAAATATGAAGTCAGATCAAGCAGCATTTTTTTAAATAGATCCACTTGCCACATATGGACATCACACAGCTTCTTCTCCTCTCAAAAGCTTTTAGTATGTTTACTAGTTTTTCCTTTCACGCGGCCATTTGTAATTTCTCGTCCTTTTAGCATCACTCCAGACTCCATCAGGGAATCTATTCACTTGTTCCGGCTTCTCTTTCTCTGGATGGCAAAGCTCAGCGTTCTGTAAAATACAGGGTTTAAGGGCTTTTTTTTTTTTTTCTTTAATGGACACTGCCAGTATTGTAACTAAGACACTCTTTCTCTCTCAGAGATGTCCTCTCTCTCCACTTCACTTTTCATCAGCCATCCTCTCTCTCCCCCTCTGTTCCCGCTCTTTATTCCATCACTACCCTGCTCCGCTCGCTGGCTTTACTCACCCAAGGTCAGGTTTCTGTATTTCTGTGGCAGAATAGTGACTTTATTTCCCCCCTTGGCGTGTTCGGTTGCAGTTGCGTGCAGTGCTGCAGGAGGGTCCGGGGGTTTTGATGTTGTGGTTGTTTGGGGGGGGGGGGGGCAACATGACAACAACCCTGAATCTCTCTGGGCTTCCTGCTGTTTTAAACTCTGCTTTTAATTTGCTCTCTTTCTCCTGTTGCTGTAATTGATGTGTGTGGTGATGAGACGCAAAAAAAGATTAAAGAAATGAAAACAGGATGACAGTGAAGGAGAAATTGTTGAATGAGAGGGATGTGGTCCTCCAGTATAGACCTTGGTTTAAGAAAAAAAAGAGAGAAGCACTGGCTGCTAGTTCAAGTCCAGGTCAAATCAAAATGGATGTTGATATTTGATGACTGCATTGTCTTCTCGAGCATTTAATAGCAGAGCAGCTCAAGGGGCACATCATCATCTCTTGCTTCTGCAAAACGGAACGATTAAAAACATGACAAATCAATTTTTCTCCCTTTCAACACGAGGAGCTCATTCTGGATCTGTTTTCATTGTCTGCATTTTGATTGATCCAGTTACCTTGGCTTATTTCCTGTTGCCCAACTGATTTTATTTCTCCCTGTTCTGCCTAAAGTCTGTGCACATGTCAGATGTTGGTAATCATGCACACACGGTTCTTTTAAATGTGATTTTGATCTTCTGCCCTTTTGTTACCTTTGTAACACATTGAGGCTGAAGAAACATCTGGATTTTGGATGTTAAAGAGTTTTAATAGATTCTGTCTTTTTACTTCCTTCTGCATTTGATTGTTTGCAGGATTATGCAAAAAAACTACTGAACCGATTTCCATGAAATTAAGGGGGGGGCAATTTGGTGCAGATAAAAATCTTTTTTGTGGCTCTACAGGGAGCTATCTAAAATCGTATAACTTGCCTCCACCTATATAACTGTCCATCGTGAATTTCAGGAGCACAATGCTATCTACCTGCTGGACAGGTACAGGAAGCGCTGCCGTCTCTCCGAGTTTTGGACCAGGTTCGTTTTTTGGGGGGGCCTCCACGGAGCTCAAAGGGGGGGGCGGGGGTTGAGGGTGGGGGGTCCAGTGGGGGTCCTGGATCACGAAAGGTGGGGCCTCCAACTCAAAAGATGTTTCCCCAAGAGGAGCAGCCGAGGCAGGGGGAGGTTGTGAGAACGACCCTGCAGAACAAACCGTGGCTGGCCCAAGGCGGTCACACTTTAAGGGAATAGATCATTAGGTGTAATTAGGGTGTTCACATTGTCACGTAAACCCCCGACTGCACAAGAATGAATAAAATCACCAGAGTACACCCCCCCCACTCCCTCTCTCTCTCTCAGACACACACACACACACACACACACACACACACACACACACACACACACACACACACACACACACACACACACACAGCAGCTCCCCAGTTAGTGAAAACACTTTGATGTCAGAAGAGTCGTCCAGAACTTGCCAGCATAAAGGCAGTGTGTTTTAAGCTTTCTCTCTTTTCTCCCCCATCTCTCTCTCTCTCGACCCCTCTATCCCTACCTCCCTCTTTTCTTCGGTCCCTCCACACAAGGCTGTAAGACACACATGGTTGAATGAACGACAACCTCTCCCCTCCTCCCCTCTCTCTCTCTCTCACTCTCACTCTCTCTCACTCTTTCCCCCCTCCGTCTCTTTTTCAGCCTTCCCACCCTGCATTTCTTTGAGGCCTGGTCAATTCTCCAGGCCAAACAAAAAAAAGCATCAAATGTTTTCTGCTGCTCGGTAATGAGGGAGTGGACCTCATCAGGGCCCAATAGTCAGCTATCCTTGGCTTTTGTTGCAGCTCAATGGCACCGCGCTCTTTGAAAAACTCAAAAGCAACTTTTTGAGGAGCAAAGGATGGAGAGAGATATGTCGTCGAGGGAGTGAGCACAGAGGGGCGTAAAAAAAAGAAAAAGCCACTCTGTTTTCATGCTAAACGGCTGTCCAGAGAGAGCAGTGGACAGCTCGGACAATGGCGCGATTGGAGCTACATGTGTTCGGATGACTTTATTCTAAAGAGACTCTGATTCTCATGTCTGTCATCTCAGTCTCAAGAGAGACTCAGCTCCACCTGTTGGACTGGTTTTCACACCAACAGCACAAATAACTAATGTTAGTTAATGGGATGAACTTACAGCTATGGAAAATATTTTATTATCATTTGAATATTCTTTTTAAATAATATTGAATATATAAAAAGTAGTGAAAATCTGTCATCACAACCTCCTGGAGTTTAAGGAAATGCAGGAACTTTTCTGATGGCACAAAACATTTCTGTGTTTGTTAAATTGAGAGTCAGACTGATACTCAGACAAATTTATGATTTCTCCCGTGTGATCAGTGAGTTAGAAAATTTCTTCTGATCGAAATCGAAGTGAGATTTCTCCTCTAAACATTCTGCACATGCGTAGGTGTTTCGTGCAATGCTTTACAAAATTGGCAAAATGCCACCGAGAAGAAAGAGCAACTAAATATGAACGTGAAAATAGCCAATGGGCAAAAGTGAGATCTTTAAACTCCTCTTTTATTCAACCACCAGATCAAATCTCAAAGAACTTGAAGATATAAAGCAATTAATTTAATCATAAGTCTTATTTTTTAATCAGTCAACCAATTATTTGACTGATCGTTTCAGCACGTGGAGAAAAAGCAGTGCAGGCATTTTACACTTTGCTTAAATTTATTGGTCTTTTCTACAGAATAAGCTAAAGGGACAGTGACGGGGAGATCAGACGAAGTTGCAAAGTATAGACTGTCTAGATCTGTGTGAGGAGGGTGTGTGTGTGTGGGGGGGGACCACAATGTGTGGGCGGATGAAATCTTGGAGGAGTGAGAACTTGACAATCCCCTCAAGATGGATAATCAAGTAATGACCCGCAGGGCCTCAACCTCATCTGATTATAAATAACCAATGGAATCATCATCACTGATTGTGTTTCCATTCCTCCTTCTGTCCCCTCGCTTATTTGTACCTCGCTCCTCCGTCAAGAAACGCATCAGCAGTCTCTGCCTCCGTAGGTAGAGGCGCTGCACAAAGGGAGGGAGCAGAAGATGGCAGGAGAAAAGACAAACTGAGACTCTAATGATGTGGCGGCGATAGTGACAAGTTTTTTTTCTCCTTTCTTTCTTTTTGGAGGGACTATTTACCCGTTGGTGGGGTCACAGTGGGTTGATGAAATGACACCTCCCTTTTGTGCGTGGGGGAGGGCGAGTTTGTCAGGTTGTTATTAAGCCTGATTCAGCCAATTGGCTCAGAGTGGGAACCCTGTTTGTGTGAGCGGACACGGAGATAAAAAGTTGACAGCGGAGAAGAATAGAGTATTTCCGTCCGCTTGCTTTGTGATGATTACTAATTATCCTGCAGCTTAAGAGGGCCAGTGGCAGAAATTCACTGATTTCATAATTTGCTGGAGCTGTCGCAGGAATACTCAGTCAGCTAGGTGATGGCTCAGATGGGATGATACACTATTCCTTTCTTATCTCTGATGGAGTGGCAGAGATGATTACAGTTTGTGCTGCACTCGCTGACATGAATCCTGTTGACGTTTTACACCATTGGGAAAAGCCTGATTTTTGAACAGCGACAGGAACAATAGATGATCATGTCAATAAACCAAGATGAAGTGACACAAAATCTCAGAGGTGTCAGGGGAGAGTGAGACACTGAGTGCCCTCTCTGCCCTCTGTGGTTGCTCTCGAAGCAGTGACACAAAGTTCTCATCTGAGAACAGCAAAGCAAAAGAAACAATAAAAAGTGTTGGCATGTAGCATTGAATTATATAGTAAAAATCGGAAATATTATATTAGAAATTCCAGAATTTAGATCACTGTTAAAAAATAAATAGAATCACTGATTCAGATGTGATGGGACAACAGTCAAAACACGATGGCAGATAATCCGATATCATCTTCTGCACATTTCCACTTTTTCTGTTTGATATTTTCAAATACTCTCTTTACATGTCTCATGTCCATGTGCTGCTGTGAACATACAAGGTGAAATTTGAAACATGACTTTTGTTCAACTGTTCAAAACCCAAAGATGCTGTTGCATTAGAAGAGCAGCAAATTCTCACAGCTGGAGTTTTTTAATTTTGTTACATTTTGCTTGAAGAATTATATTACGAGATTATGTCAGATTGGAGTTAACCATCAACCATTATCATTGCAGTA